ATATGGGATTAACAAAATCTGTCCTATAGTGGAACTTCATTAGCACACCTAGCTCTATCATTCCTAGTGGTTTCATCAAATTAGGTTGGATAGAAAAAATTCAGGACTCAAAGGGTTAAATAGCTCATTTAAGATAAAGATAGATGAAATATGTTTTGTCTAAAGTTTGACATATGAATAATGTCTTCATCGTATATTAAAAAGGAAGTAAAAAACGTTTTCAGTTAAAAATAGTACATATTACGTAAATATATTGAATCACTTCAATTTAGTAAAACTGCGTAAAAAAAACAAAGTGAATAAATAGTAGTGATAAGCAATAAGCAACATTCGATTACTTATTATTCAAAAATCGATTAGTGAATTATACTCAATTACTTTAAAAAAATGAAATCAAGCAATAAAAACGCTTGTAGAGCAATATCAGGAATCTGAAACCTTTGAATCATTGCCTTTTCTACATCAGAGAATAACGTCTTTATGTATTTTTTTTCTGCTTGAAATTACAGAAGCATGAGCCGATAATAACTGGTTAGTATTGTTATTTAGTCGTCATATACTGCAGAACCTTTTTTTTTTGCTACAGTTTTTTTATTGTTCTTTTTTGCGTAGGAGTATGAGTAAGTATTATTAATTTTTTGGAACCATTATTCCAAAACCTTATGACGCAAAATATTTTTAGTTTTCTTTCATAGTTCTCTTCGAATACATTTGAATGATTAATATGTGTGTATTTATTCAGAATAGACTAAAGGTTAATACGGTCATTATTTTTATCATGTTATTTTCGTTTGAATATATATTTTTAGAAAAGAAATAGTACTGTTTGTTAAGATATTTCTATCAAACTACAGGACTTCCTAGTTTTTCAATTTGCTCTCTGCTCCTACTCTAGTGTCTGTAAAGTAGGTTTATATCCTAGGAATACATTTGAAGTTGCTCGTTGTATTATTTTATCGACGCATATTTCTTCTATACTGATGGATTAGATTCGACATCAGCTAATCTAGTGATTTATCTCTCTGCGTATACAAAAAAAAAAACGCCCATTTTAACTGCGCATACAGGCTGATGTTCTTTTGACTACGTCAAAGATGTGTCCAGAGAATTTGTCACGAAAACCTAAGTATGGTAATTCACCTTCAGGGACGTACGAAAGGAAGAAATAAAGACTTATGACGCTAGAACACCCCATTTTTTCGGCACGAACCTCCTTGTTTTATAACGTCATTTTGATGTCTATTATTATAGCGATTAATATATTATGTTTGAAACGTTAATCCTGCAGGGATAATGGTGAAAGTTTTTTTTTTTGTTTTTGAGATATTTTTATCGACACTATTGTACATCATAACAGAAAGGTATTGTATTTTTCTCTTATTTCGGTTTATTATCAAATGGGTTCCGGAAAATCTGGACTTACACAAACATGGAAATTATTTTCTTCTACAGAAAAACGAAATATCATGATTTATATTATTGGAATAATGCTTTATAAATTTGGATTAGAAGCATTCAATGGATCTATTGTTACACTTGCTACAATTCGTTATGAACATGATGCTATTGTTAGTGGAATATCTTCAAATGCATTCGAACGAGTTGGATTAATATCTGGTCTTAATCAAGCATTTCAATGTATCGGTTCAATACTTGTTGCTCCTCTTACTAAACATTGGCCGACACGTACTGTATTATCAATTTCAATATTTATATTTGCTTTATTTTCTGCTATTCTTCTAATTGTTGACGGCGCAACTGGTGGACGTATTCAACCATCAAATTTTGTAGCAACAAAAAATAATACTTTTATTTATTATGGTAAATATAATACGAATGGAATTATACCGATTTATTGTATAACTGGTATTGCTTATGGAATGGTTGAATTAATTCGACGAGTTATTCCGAGAGATATTGTTGGAGATAATGGTAAAAAATTACAAAAAATGGATGCATTAGTTCATGTTTTTTATGAAGTAGCCGGTGTTAGTGGAGCATTTGCTACAGGTCTTGGTTTAATTCCTTATCTAGGTAATAATTATTCATTTATTGTAACACCAATTTTGTTTACAATGGCTGCTATTATTTGGCTTTTCATTAGTTCTTTTGGATTAAATATGAATAATCCTGATGATGAGATTATATTGACGAATGAATCAAATTATTTTAAATCAATTCTTCAAGGATTTGTTCTTTTTGGACAATCGATTTTTATTGGTGCAAAAATTATATTTACACATCGAAAATTTATTTGGTTATGGACTTGTTATTCATTGACACTTTATGCACATCGTTATATTGAAAATGGTATTGCTCCACAAATAGGTCTACGATATCTTGCACATTCAGAATGGTCACAAATTATTGTTGGTGGTTCAAATTTAGGTGAATTACTTGGTGCTTTATTTATATTTATTTTTGGAAATTTTATTAAAACACCTCTACCTTGGTCTCGATTAGATGCATTAATATTAATTATTGTTTGGTATATTCCATATTATTATCCGCCAACGAATAATGTTAAAATTGCTTGGATTATTGCTGCAACATATCTTCCAATTGGTTTTGGATCGGCTGCTGATGATATTGCACTTAATTCATTTATTCAATCATCTTTAAGTGGTTTAGAATTACAACATAAAAATATATCAGCATTAGGTGCAGTTGCAGCATTTTTATATTCATCTTATATTATTATATATGCAATTTTAAATCCACTTCTTGGAAAATATATTGATAGTGTCTATTATTTGACTAATACTATTAGACCAGCATTTATGAATACAGTTGGTATTCAAATGACTGTTATTTCAGTAATAGTATTTGCTTCGACATTTATTCCAAAAGGTGCCATTGCATTCAATCCAAAATTTATTGATGATGATAATTCGACAAGTACAATTGATAGTGAAAAAAATCTAAATGATAATGATAAAACTAGTAAAGAAAAAGACAGAAGTTCGGATTCGATAACTTATTTTTGAGAAAATTTCTATTGTATCTATTCTTGTTTATTGTTATAACAAAAAAATTAATTGACAATTGTTTTTATTTATTTAAATGAATAAATGAGTTCCACATCTATAGTCAAATTTATCTATAAAATGATAGAAATAAAAATTTTTATAAGCCAAAAATTGACTAATATTTTGCTTGATTTTCTTTCTCATTTACTAAATTGTAAGGATCAGATATATTTAACATCGAATCTACTGTTCGCCTCAAAAGTATTGTACCACTTTTTTGTTTTGGCTCGCGTTGCAAAACTATACGAGATAGATTCAATTTCCTTTTTTTCTTCAGATAGTACAGCTCGAGTACTATATATATATACATGTTTGAAATGGAGGATTCTTGAATATGAAGTACAGAAATAAAAAACAAACTTCAATACTAAGTGAAAAATTGTGTAAAAAAAACTACAAAACGATATAACTATTATGAGTTTTAGTAAGATCTGAGTTTGCAAAAAATTAGTAGCATTTTTAAAATGTTTTTACATGGTTCGATAGATCTTGACGAGCTCTACAAAATCGTTTATATGAGAATTTTTTAAACCCTATTTTCGCACAAAAATTTTACATGTTTTATCTGTTCTATATGAAAAAAAGACAACTTTTTTCATACGAAAAAGGTAAAAATGCAGGTANGGGGTAGGTGGGCAGTGGAAGGTGGCGCCACTCTTTTTTTGCTTTTAAATGTTTAATTATGCGTTATTAAAACCTGAAATTTTTAGTGGATGTAGTTCATGTTAGGGCCAGATTATAATAAAAATTTCAGGTATTAATAACACACAATTGAAAACTTAGAAGCAAAAAAAGAGTGGCGCCACCTTCCACTGCCCACCCACCGCCAGCGAGTCGCCACTGTTCTAGATACGCCACTATTCAAATCTATATTGCTTTCAATGAATTCTAGTGTCATTAGTGGTTTAGATGGTACATTATCAGTCAACAAATTCACACAACAAACCCACCGTAACAGATGCATTGTTTTAAATTCAAAAATGAATTTTCACTTAACGATAAATTTTCCATCTCATTGATCTAGTGATCTATGTGCATAAAACTTTGATTAACAAATTTTCCAAGTATGATTTCTATCGTTTTCAGATTAGATTTATTATGGATCAATTGAACTCAACATTATCTTCATTGTCTGATGCAGATTTGATTGCAACAATAAATTATGTCGCACTTCAAATTGTTCGTTACTTTGCAATTTGTATCTTTCTTTTTGGTTCGATTGGAAATATTCTCAATGTTTTGGTTTTGTCTCAATTACCATTTCGTCTTAATCCATGCGCTGTACTTTTTCTATTCTCATCCGTAGTAAATTTTGTTGCCATTCTTTCTGGTCTTCTTTCACGAATATTATCTGGTTGGGGAGCAGATCTAACAGCAACAAATCGATTTTTTTGCAAGCTTCGTGGTTTGGTTGTGAATACTGCAAGAACAGTAGCGATTTGGTATATACTTTTTGCTATAATTGATCGATGGCTCCTATCAAGTTCTAGATTGCATCGTCGACAGATGAGCTCATTGAAAAATGCTAAACGAGCTATGATTATTAGTCTTATTTTAGTTACTATGATTTTTTCACATGTTATCTATTGTCATGAACCAAATCTTATTGATGCTCCACAGAAATGTTATGGTGTAACAACAGCATGCCGATTAGCAACAGATATATCATTTATTTTTTTTTCTATTTTTCCTTTGCCTCTCATGTTAATATTTGGTTTGATGACCATCTACAATGTTCGTCAATCAAGAAGTCGAGTCGCTCATAGATCTACATCAGTGGTAACAAATCCGATAACAACCAATACAAATCCACGACGTCGAATGACTAAGCAAGATCAAAATCTATTAGTTATGCTTCTCGTACAAATTTTTATTCTTTTCATATTATCTCTTCCGTTGAGTATTCAAAAGTTATACTCAACAATAGTGGTTAATAGATCATCATCTGCATTGCTGGATGTTATTGACAATCTGGCCTATAGTCTTGTTCAATTACTTCATTTCTTATCAAATGGAATGCCATTCTATATTTATACGTTGGCTGGTGGAAAAGTGTTTCGTGAAGGCTTATTCAAATTCTTCGTCAATATAAGACATCAAATCTTTCATAGATGATGATGATTTTATTTTTTTGACTTTGAATGTATTCAATTAACATATTTTTTCGGAATGTATTTAATATGGTGTAGTGACAAACTAGTGTTCGTATAGAGAAATGATGAGTAATATTGAAAATCAGAGAAAAAAAAAGCTAGTGAGAAGAACTATTGAATAGCATAGCATAAAATGTTGTACTATTATGAAAATCCCATTGAATCAACGAGACTATTGTGAAAAACTTTTGAGGATGAAATAATAAGATATTTAATTTGCATATTTGTAAAAAAAATAACTGCAGTTCTATTGTTGTTTGTTCGTGATTGTAAATAGCTTCTAATAGTTTGAAATTAATAAAACAATATATTATATGCGAAAAATGATGACGAATCTCACTTGCTTCTGTTCAAATTTTTTAAGATTTTGAAATGAAATACAACACATGCACCTACAAGTTTTCTGAAAAATTCTGTTGACTTGTTCTAATGATATGTTAGACAATGAAAATAGGTGTTGTCTGATGGCGAAATATCTCATGCTAGTGTTGACTGACAATGGTGTTGCAATATTCCTAATCTTTTTTTGCCTTGTTTTTTTTCAAAACCAATACTTTAATGGGAAGATGGGTGTAAGGTGTGTACGGATGTGGTTCTTCGCTTCATTTACATTCACACACATTATTAATAACAATTCGATATTGATTCAGTTTATTCAACCGAATATTATTTCGTGCATAGCTATTTCAAGTTAGAAAAACTAAGCTAAACGACAACCATAAAACTACGTGAAATTTTCGAAGGTGACAATGTGAGTGTAGGCGTCAGTAAAGAGAAAACCTATATTTATATAAACCCATACTCACACTCTTGGTGGTTCAAATTTGAGCGAATCATTCGAGACTTTATTTCTATCTGTTGTTGGAAATTTTATTAAAATGCCTCTTCCTTGTTTTCGATTAGATGCATTGTATTAATATTACTTATTGCTTAGTATATTCTCCATATTATTATTCATCTATGAAAATCATTTCATGAGTAATCAACTGCAAAGACACACAAGGTTCTCAGAAGGTTTTTTTTTCGTCTGTAGAACGTTGTAAAGCTCGTTGCGCTGATCAATTGAGTTTAAAAACTTCAAATTTATTCAATTAATCATGATACTAGGATCAAAATATTCGAAAATATGAACTATCCATCAACATCAGTCAGGGATAGCTGAAGTTTTGGAGTATTTGACTTCTAGCATCATTATTTATTGAGTAAATAAGTATTACGAAACGAAAGAACTTTGTAAAAAAAGGCTCTTGAAATACAGTGATGTATTTTTTTGAAGTTGCTCACAATTATTATCCAATTTTTTTTACATTTTGATTTATACAGTTTCATACAATAATGATGCTAATTTATTCTATATTCTTTTTGGTTAATCATATTTTTAAAAAGGTAAGATATTTCATATTGATTTGTTTTTTTATGAATGCACAAATGTCAATAAGAAAATGAATTTTTTTAGAGTAATGATTAGTATTTTATCAATTGGAGGAAATATAGCTGTTAGAATTTCGAATTTTTTAAAATAGATATAATTATTTTTAAGAAATAAAATTATAACAACTACCACGAGAACGATCAATTGATAATTGTCGTTCTGGAATTGTAAGATGATAGATAGTTGTTCACTCTAATTGTTAATATTACTTCGAGATAGTTAATTTGAACTTGAACAAAATCAAGTAAGAATGGAAGTTGAGGACAAATATATAAACCATCAGTTTTAGCTGTAACACCTACAAAACCATGCAGAAACGAAACAGCAGCAATGCCTGATTCAGGAAATGGAAAATTACTTCCAATTTGTACAAAGTCTTATTCAAAATCATCTCTTATTCGTCCTTTTTCATAATTAAAAGTTAAACAGTTAGAATCATTATCAATACGTTCTAACATACTATTCAATATTTTGAAAGCTTGATCAGTATAATTAAAACGAAGACGAGCCATAACATCATAGTATGTTAACCATATCATTGATCCGCCACTTTCAACAAGACCACCATAAGGTCTTCGTCCTTCATTTGGATCTGACCATCCATCCCAATCTGATTGAGCAACATTTTCTGTTGTAGTTCTTGGAGCTACAATATTATGATAAACATCAGTACTTCCATTATGTGGACCAATAAGAATTGGATCAGCTGGTTGTGATAACCAATCAAAAATACGATCTGCTTTCGTACGATTACCTAAACCACGAGCAAGTGCTTCTAGATTAATAAATACATAACCATTATCATGCTGATTACCATTTTTATCAATCCACCCAACATATCTTCCTGTAGTTTCATTCCAAAAAGTTTCATCAAAAATATAGCTGAATTTATTAGCTAACGATTGATATAAGTCTTTTTGCTTTTTATTTTCAAGAACATTTTCTAATTCAGCCATATTATTAAGAGCTGTATAAAATGTTAGAGCTATCCATGCATCTTTTCAACCTGATTTTACTTGATCCATATATGTACTTGGACGACTGTTCTTTGAAATACCATCATTAATCATATTGATTGGTATTCCCAATGATCCATTCATGTTAACAATCAAAAAATTCCTTACTAATTCAACTCGTGATAAAATTGATTGAAGAAATATTCGATCATGTGTCCAAACATAATATTGATAAATAGCAGCAGCAAATCGAGGTAATTGATCAAAATGATAGGAAGCCATAGATCCATGAGATCCTCGTGCATCAGGCCATCGTTCTGAATCTAACCATGACCAAATAAATCCATCAGACAATTCACCTTTTGTTCCATTTATTCCATTAATTGGAAATCGAAAAAGTATTGTTTTACCATGATCTCGATATCCATTTCGATTATTCCAACTAAACTTTAATGCATCCCATTCTATCCAAGCTGGATTATCTCCAAAACAATTATCATTTGTATCCAATTTTTCTTCACAATTACCATAAATAGACCAAAAGACATTCAATTGTTTAGTAAAAATTGAAGAAGATGAATTAAATGGTGTTGAATATTCTTGACCAGGACATTTTTCTGTTAACGTTTCATGAAAAACTATTATCAATATAATAATACACAACATTTCATCAGTCTATTCTATAGAGAATATACATATCTTTAAATCATTATTATCATTTGTTTTTCTATATTTGCATACGATTCATTATTTTTGTAACATCCTTATCTTGAATATTTACTAAACTCTAGACTGAAGCATGTGTGAAAAAAATAAGAGTCATTTATGTAATATTTGTCGCTTCTTTTATTATATCAATCTTAGTTTTACTCTTTGAAACATTGGGAAAAAAAAATATTTCTTACCAGGGAAGGTCCCGAACTGATCCACATCGTTTTCAATGATAGTTTTGTTCATATGTCGGGGACACTATTCTAAGTAAAATCCTAAGAAGCTTTGAATTGATGTGGCTTCCTTCGAAAATGATGACCATATTACTGATTTTTCTACCTAGCACAAAAGTATTTAAAGAAAAGTTGAACAACGGCATTTCAGCCTGAAATTTTGCTCATTAGCACACTAAACATTTCAACAATAAAAAATGTTTTCTTTTGAAGATATTCAATTTTTAAGAAAGTCAATCTTTCAGAACTTTATAGATTATGAGACAAGTTTTTAAAAATTGAATGTCTTCAAAATAAAACATTTTTTTTTTATCGCTAAAATGTTTAGAGTGTTCTAATAATCACAAGAGCTACGTATAAGCAAAATTTCAGATTGAAATTTCATTGTTCAACTTTTCCTTATATACCTTGTGCTTGATAAAAAGAAAATCAGTAAAATGATCATAACTTTCGAAGGAAGCTCCATCAGCTCAAACTCTCCTAGGATTTCTCTTAGAATACTTTCCCCAACATATGGAAAAAATATCATTAAAAACAGCTTGAATCAATTCGATACTTTTTCTTGTTGGTGTATCTTAATTTTTTGATTCTAATATACAAGATCAACAATGCAATAAGATTATTAAAACAAAGTGATGCTCAATGGACACACCAATCAATGTAAATTCTAGGAAACTAACGGGTGGCGCAGAATAAATTAAACTGTTAGTATTTTTATAATTTCTCCTCTTTTATCCCCATAATGGAGACACTTTTTTTATCAAAAGATAGCGCTTGAAATTCTCTACAAAATTATATATGACTAGGCGCAAAAACTGTCTTAGATATATTTGAAAAAAGATGACGAGTAACGACATATAAAAAGCTGTAAAAAATAACAGGTTGGACATAATAACTGACCGCGCGTGAATCTCATTTCTCTATCATTTACTTCGCCCTATTAGAAAAATAAAATATACCAAAAGATGCAGCTTGATAAGCTTCACAATCTACATAAGACCGCTCATTTTATAGTCACACTTTTTGTTTTGAAAATGGACAACATTTTGAGCGGTCAAATTTCGATCCTGCGAAAATAATGTAATTTTTGGTAGAAGATGAATTCGTTTTTCTTTTATTTCCTCTCTTTATAATTTTTCTTATTAAATTGTAGAGCTTTTCACGCTGCATCTTTTGGCATATTTTGTTTTTCTAATAGGATGAAGTAAGTGATAGAAAAATGAGATGCAAAGCGTGGTCATTCCTTATGCCCAACCCGTTACTTTTTACAGCTTTTTGTTTGTCGTTACTTTTCATCTTTTTTCAAATATATCTAAGACAGTTTTTGCGCCTAGTCATATATAATTTTGTAGTGAATTTCAAGCGCTATCTTTTGATAAAAAAAGTGTCTCCATCATGGGAATAATAGAGGAGAAATTATAAAAATACTAACAGTCTAATTTATTCTGCGCCACCCGTTATATTTTATTTCTGATCATAATTCAAGTATATTTCGACAAGATAATATTTAAAGTTTTGTTTTTTTATTCCAAGAACAAATATCTAGGAGCAATAAACATGATAAGAGAATAATTTATTCTTTAAAAAAAAAAACGCGTAAGATTTTTCTTATCAGTTTACATTATACAATGTTAAAGTCTAGATTTATATAAGATTTAACTATTATTTTTATTTATATGTAATTAAATATTCAGCATATGCTTGTGCATCATGATATGTAACAAATATATGATTTCCATCTGTTGTTGAATCAAATCCAACTGGTCGAGTTTTTATTGAACTATTTCCCAAGGTTGTCTTTCCAACAAGAACACGAGCAAGAAATATACATCGTTCTTGATTTGAATTAGGTGTTGCAAATCGATGACTATAAGCTGCATTTGATGAAAAATAAACACCGACACCATATGCTGTTCCTAGAAATAATATAGATTAAATAAAAACAAGAACAACAAACATAACAATACCATTAACTCCAGCAAAACTTCTATTAAAACAATCTTCAATAATTGAATTTGCTGCTTTTTCACCACAACCGTGATATAAACGTTTTTCTGTATCTTTATGTAAACGTTTTTTAAAATCTGTCCAATGTGCATTATATTGCATAAGCCATCGTTCATTTTGAATTCGTTCAATTTTTATAATTTTTTTACAGATTCCTTTCATAACTGTATTAAAATCTGTAGAAATTGATTTATATTCATCAGAATCTATCGACACAATAATTTTTAATTTATTTTCGGTGATATTTTGCCATGTTGAAGGTACTTGATAATCGATTGATGCATGAAAATCTATGAAAATAATTAATTTCAATAAATACATGACACAAAAGAAAAAAACAAAATCGATGAATTTATTTTTTACTTTTGTCTGATGATAAAAGTTGTTTGCAAAATTCATCATAAACATTTTGTTGATTAGGTTCAATGATAAATTTAACTAACCATGATAATTTTCTAGTTTGAATTTGTTTTCTCATTTCTTTAATCATTGTTTTAACAACAATATCAATTGAACAAGCATGTTTTCCACAACCAAGAGCTGGAAATGCAATTGAAGTATAATTATATGAAATAACATTTTGAATAACATTCCATATAAGATCAATAATTGATTGTTGAAGTAGTTCAGGATCTTTATTTGGTTCCCATTTAATAAAAAATATTCTTTTACAAGGTAATTGACCTGATGGAGTTGAAATAATTAATGAATTTGGATTATCAATATATGCTTGATAATAACTAGTTTCAACTTCATCTCCTCCAGCTTTAATTAATACTTGCATTAAATTGTCCGATGATGAACTTCCAATAATAACATCTACCTAAGATATTTATTAAATAGAAAAAAAAATAAATGCGGAAACTTCGGATTTAAATCCGAGAGTTATGTGTACTTCAAAAAGTGAATCATACGAATCAGTCATCCTAGAATGTCTGAACATCAAAATTATACTGGGAAAACTAGCATTGCAAATGTTGACTTTCATTACGTGTTGCCAAACCAATTGAACTTGGGATCGAACACAGCTCAAGTTTGAACTCTTTCCCTTGATTTACCCTAAAACAGTCATTTTTCCTATAACTTCATTTCTATTGGCCACTGCACAACCAATAGTATTACGTTGGAAGTGCAGTACACATTCGAGTTCTCCATCTCTGAAGATCTCGAAACATCATCACTGTGATCGGGAGATAGAGCGCTATTTGTGGATCAATTAGATCGTGAACCAAAATATAGCCCAGTTCTCTTTAACTATTCTTGTGATAGGTGAGTCAACCTTCTTATTTCTTTATGTTTTATATATCATTTTGTAGCTCTTGAAATTCTCTATCGAATGGTATATAATAGTTGGGATTTTAATTGACTATGATAGGAAAAGTCTTTTACGAAAGCCGCGAGGGGTCTATGTTTCCACAGAAAGCTATAGGTAAAAATGGGTATTTTTGCAATAACTCAGAAACGGCTCGGTCGATCCTGCTCACCTTCAAATCGACCGAGATATTGTCAAGACTAAACTTTGTAGAAAGTTTCATCGCAATCTGACTCTGTTGTCAAAAGTTATGATGTGAACAGCCAACCGGACGCACGGACACACTGACTATTCTATAGTGTACTCACTTTTCTAGTACACAAAACTATGATTCGGTTCAAAACTAATATCAGATTCAGAATCAGCGTTAAAAACTGAGTCGATTTATGTATTTTGTGAATAATTATGGGCAAAAATTTTTTTTCGAAAAATCTCCGTACCTCCCCTCAGGGATGGTCTGGTCAAAAATCACAATTTTTTCGATAACTCAGTCATTTCTTGACGGATCCTTCTCATCTTCGAACTCGACTGAGACATTGATGAGACTGAACTGTGTAGAAAATTTCATCAAGATCTGACTCCCCTTTCGAAAGTTATCGTGTATACGGACGGACGGACGGACACACTGACTGATTCTAGAGTGTACTCACTTTTTGAGTACACAAAAAGAAGTAGAAAAGAAAATAATATATCATTTTAAATTAATAATAATAATTACATTTTGTTTAATAATATCTCCTTGTTCAATTTCAATTTTTCCTTTTTCAATTGTTATTGATACTGATTTTTTTATTGGATTTTGTTCATGTTGTTGAAATGAATTAAGTTGTTTATAGAATTCATCATAGATATCAATTCTATCTGATGGAATAACAAATAAAATTTTCATTGGATATTTAATTATTTGCTCTTGAACTTGTCTAATAAATGTTTGAGCAATAAGTTTAATTGAACATCCATAATGATCACAACCAATAGGTGAAAATGCAATACTTTTATAATTTTCATTTATTGCTTTTTCTATTATAGTTGAAAGTAATTCTGGTATTGATTGATAAAGTAGATTAGAATCAGAATCAGGTTGCCATACAATAAAATAAATTACTTTTGATGGAATTTTACCATCGGTAGTAATATCGATAACAGAAGTTTTAGGATTTTCCTTTATTTTTATATCGAATAATTTTTTTAAAGAGTTTCCACATGCTGCAAAAACACTATCGAGTAAATATTTTGATAATGTACATATTACAATAATATCAGTCTAAATATTTCAGAATTAATATAAAATATTTTTATAAAACAAAAACTTACATGTTCATTTATGATATTACCTTGAATAACATTTACTAAATTTTTGAAATCTTTTTCATTTATCGATTGCTATAAAAAAAAAGATAAACGAATTATTATAATCAAATAGAAGAAGATTAATAGTTTTAAAGAGTATATTTCACTTTCTGGATTTTTTAATGTTTACCACAAATCATGACGGAACTCCTGAGTTTGATCAAACAACAATATCAAAAGTGTCATGCATAATTTTTCGATGTGCGTAACCTCGTTATTTCATTGCGTCGTCATCTTATCATGTTGAGGTTATAGGCACAAGTAAAAACCTATACACAGTCACTGTGTTGTATTTCACGTAACTAAGACTCAGAATTTTACCTTCTATTTTAATGTAATGATGTAAGAATAAAATTAAAGTGATGTAGAAGTTGATCGAATATATGAGTTATCATTTACTTCGGTGTTTTCACTGCAACTTTTTCTACTATGTTCATTTCATACCTTATTCAAGTAGAGAAACATAAGCATACGTACAAAGCAATATATATATAGAGAGAATATTAGAAGAAAAGAGGACGTGATGATATCAACAGAAGTGATGTCAATATCGTCTAATTAATCAAATACTTCTTCATTGTAGAAATCTTAAATAACCATTCTTATTCCAGTATAAGAACCAGATTATTCTTTGTAATACAAAACTACGATATTCCTATTTAATTGTTACTTTTTCATCAACAAATAATACTGTCATATATCCAAAAGATGAGGAACGTTGGAGATATATTGAAATATGAGTAGACACAAGTGAAGATAACAAACGTTTTATATAATGAATCAGTTACAGTAATGTAAATGCATGTATTTTCTTTGTACTCAAAATTTTGTCTATTATGAATGATCCCTTACTATTCTAGTTCACATATAGATTTTTTTCATATTACCAGAATAGGCGGAATGAGAAAAAGAAAACAAATCAATCATGTAATAACATCATCTGTCGAAGATACTGAATTATTTATGTGTCATATATAGACTAGAGCTGCTAGATGACTACTTTTTTTCTAACCTGTTCGGATTCGGTTTGGAATGTCTGTAGGCTGATAAATGTTTTGAATCTAAACAAGTTCTTCTGTCAGTCAAATGAAAATGCTACAACACTAGATTAGTCTTTGATTTAAGCATCTGTTGCTGGAATCGAAAGAATTTATCACAATATTCTCAGGTAATAAGGTGATGCGTCAAGATTTGATTTTCAATGAGTAAGAGCCAGATTAGTAACTCTGATATAGACTTTTGTTTTTCATTGCTAATTAAGGATACAGAGTAGAACAGTATCTACTCAACAGTTTTGACATTTTCGACTTCTCATATATAAAAAAAGTTTGTCAATTAATAAAATTAAAGTTGTTTTTCATTTTTTCCAAAGACGAGATGATCTTTATTATTAATGCCTTACATCGATGGCAGAACATATAGGCGAGACAATGTGACGATTTTAGATAGAAGAGTCTGAAATTACGCTTTATTTGACTTCCTCATATCACTAATCGTATTGTTTATACATAAAGCACACGCTTATATACGCCGATAGAAGAGAGGATGAAAGGAAAGGAGATGAGACCAAGGAGAGAACAGATATGGAAGAACAATAGGCTAAGGACAGCAATTTAAGAATAGAAAGGTAAAGACAATATATATAATATACAAGTCAATGATAGGAGAAGGCTGAACATTATGTATGAAATCCAATCAACCGGGAGCGTTACAGGTAAGGCTTAAACTTCACCTAAATCTGGCATTATTAGGCTCAGTATCACCCAAATTATGAATTTGAGACTTGATCGTGCGCAAGTTTAGCTTTATTTGATAAGGCGAATTTTATTCTAGTGTGCAGATTGAAACTTTGAATACATTTATTTCTATGTTGTGATGAAGAAAACTAAAAATCACAGATGACAGTAAACTCACTAACTGTATCGTCATAGTTTGTAGCCACATCTGTTATCTGATTTACATAAACTTGTATGTAAAATAAACGAGGATGTGGGTGGGTGAGTGATTCTGCTATATCTGATCTTCATCTAAACCTACAACCACGCTCATTTTACCTTATACTGATATATGATAAACTTTTTTTTCGGGACAATAAATAGACATCGACTGAGTTTCATCCAGTTTCGAAAACTTTCTACCACTCTTGATATCTTAGATTTATCGATGAATCTGTTATATTTTCAATTTATCTGATATTAAATAAATATTAAATTCTAACCTCATTTGAAAAATCTAAAATTTCATCATGAAAATCATTTTCATATTTCAATTCATATTGATTGATTTCATCTATTGAAATAATTCCATTATGTTGTGCTTGTTTTAAATAGGATGTAGTTAATAATATTAAATCTGAATTAGCAGATAATTGAAAATTATCAACAATTATTAATTTATGATTATTATTGATTATTATTTTTGGTATCCATCTTAAAAAACCTTTAATTGTATTTTGTTGATTTGTAAATGTAAAATTTTCAAGATCAAATATAATTTGTTCATTATTAATAAAATCTAAATTAATAATTATATATTTTCGTCGATAATTTATTGCTCTTTCGAATAGAAAATTTATTTTTGTATTAGCATTATACCATGAATTAAGTTGTATTGTATTTGTTGTTGTCATATTAAATATTTGTATTGACACTGAAAGTTTTGCTATACTTGTTGGATATTTAATAAACATAATTTGCCATTGTGAATAACAATGAAAATTAAGTAAAGATGAACCTCTACAACGTAACCACATGATATTATCTGCTTCATTATTATTTATAATCGAACATAAAAATTGTGCAAATGAAACATAATAAATATCTTTTGATGTTTTTAAATCAATTTCAGTTTGAAATTTTTTATCAGAATTAATAATTAAAGATTGTTGAAGTTGATTTGATAAATCTGTTGGAACTGGTAACCATTGATCATGAAGTAATGATTTATATTCCCAAATACAATCAATAATATCTTTATTTTTTTCAAGGTCATCAAGTATTGTTTTATTTGGTAGATTATTTGATCTTTTTGAATAATTACTTAAAAGAAAAGTTTTAAAAAATTTTTGAATATCTACTTTTAATTGTCCATTTTGTATAGGAGTTTCATGAAAATTATTTAATATAAAATAATCAGCACCATGTTCTATTAAATATTTAACTATTTGTAAATGTCCATTATAACAAGCTGCATGTAATGGTGTTGAACCAGTACTTGCTTTAAATGTTATTTCTTGATTTATTTCATTATAATCTTCATTTTTTATATTAACTAAACATTTACCTATTTCAATAAGATATTTAACTATATTAAAATGATTATTTCTAGCTGCAGAATATAAAAGAGTTGTTCCATAAAGACCCGATTTATCTTTTAATATCGAATAATTTTCAATAAAATTTTTAACAATAATTTTATTTCCATTCCATGCAGCTTGACAAGCATCAAGTAAAAATAATCGACATTTAAGATTATGTATAAATGAAAATAATATTTCTTTTGTTAATATTATTGAAAATTTTTTTTCTTGAATATTATAATTATATTGTTTGCATATATTAAAAAGATAATTTTGACATTGAAATGATAATAATGAAAGTTTTTCATCTAATAGATTTTTTATTTGTATTTCAAGATTATTTAATATTTCTTTTTCATTAGATTGTGTTTGTTGTTGTTCTAAACTATTAATTGCATCCGAAACAGCAACAATAAATAATTGTAAGCAATCTTTCAAATTTATTTCATCAATATTTTCACTAGCCATATGATCAAATATCTTAAACGAACAAAAAATATAATTAAAACATATTTATTTCTTATTAAAATATTTTGCTGTTCTGTTTCTTTCACATAAATAAGAAAGGAAAACAAAAATAATCGCCTAGCTAAAGAAATGTAATTGAATAGTATTTTAGTTATCCAAATATTAATACGTCAATAAGTAAATATTTATTTCAAACAAAAAAATATTTTCATAGATCAATTTTTCTTTTGTAGATATTATGAAACCCAATCTAGAATGAGTAGTGAAGTTTAACGGTAACAACTTGGACACTCTTTTTTTTCTCTCTCTCTCTCCTCGCATGACAGACGGCAATAGGTGTTGTCGGTATACAATCATGGATTGTATGTCAATAGAGTCACGTGCTTATATACAAATTACTATTCATGACAAAAATATCAGGTAGGTAATCAATTCTTTCAATAGCTTTTGATAGAAATAAAATACATACCTGCGACTTTCACCATGGGGAAGAGAAGAATATTTTTTTTTTATGCAAATAGGACGCAATATGATTTATCAACTATTGACCAATCAAATGAGTTTTTGACGAAGGTTTTGAAAATTACGATATTTTCTATTGAATTTAAACTTGTTATGTGACCATTTGATAAGGAAAATTGTGCTCTTTTAATCTCAATAAGGTCAAGTTATAAAGTTTGTTCCGTTCAGAAACTACTGATGTTTTCTAAAAGATCTCCGAAATCGGCTAAACGACCTCTAATTAAGCTACCACGAGTTAGGACATAAGTAATCAAGACCATGCTTAGTCAAATAGTAACATTTGTTTTCAATTTTGAAGCGGTTATGCCAACATTTCTGATATTGCTACTCAAGAGTCATAGCGAGAAAATCATGGAATTTCGAAAGTAATGGTATAGCAGCTTCGAAACTGAAGATTAATATTACTACTGGACTCACTGTTATTCATTACCTCTGTTCTGACCTTTGATATCTTGATCAAATGTCGTTGAGCTAATGTCAGAGGTCTTCGAAAAAACGTCCATAACTCGTAAATGGAACAAGTTATAGAGTTTACCTGTGCGTAGATCAAAAGAGCACAAATTTCTTTATCGAATGATTATATTACAAGTCAAAATATAATGGGCAATAGTTTCAGAACGTGCCAGAATTTGAACCTTTTGAGTATTATTATTTGAAAAATATAAAAGCACTTTAACATTTGACAGAATATATTGATTTATAATGCTGCTAAAAAGTTCTAATATGTGTGAAAGTCCAATTGAAGTAAAATAATTTTCTAGAAAATTTTGACCAGCAATACATCTTGGAAAAATATGATCGAAAACACCATCTAGAGGCCAATCGACTGTCTAAGAATGAAGTTACAAATGAAAAACTATTCGGAATATTGTTGCCTTCAATCTTACTGTTCAACAGCTTCTCATTGAATTCACCGATCACTTGCAAGTTCATTACTTGTTGCATTACCTCGATTTTGTCGAGAAGTTGTCAGGTTTCAAAAAGTTCTTTTCAACTCAAACGAGGGAAAGTCCTCAGATCAATAGGGAAGTTGTAGTTAAAACCTTTTTTATTTGCGAGTGAAATTGAAATACTCATTAGTCGAATTAGTTTTCGATGCTGATTCCAAATATGTTATTAAGTGAGAAAAGGTGCCAAATCATGTTTTTAGAATAGTCCGCTAAAAATTTCTGAATTGCTCAGTATTTTTGAACTTTGAAGAATATACAATTTTGTAGCGTCCTAGAAGCACAATCAATTGGTATACAACGCTTTACATGAACTAAACGATGTGAATCTCTATCAATCCACAAGATAATAAGCAGAACCAAATTTTTTAGCTAACCCATTACAGACCGTCAATCAAGTAACGAATAGAAAATAACGATAAATTTTTTCTATAGACATGCTTGAAATGGAATGAATATAGAACGGAATGCTCTATCTGATGAGACAATCCCGAAATGAACGTAATGTTGCTGTGCAAAGATCTTAATCGAAATATGCATGAATTTTAATATTTCAAGAATGAGCTGATTTATCCTCTTATGCTTCCTCGTGCTTTTTTCGTCACTTTATTAACGGTTACTGTTAAGTTAGCTGAAAACTCAGTTCTACTTATTGTCTTGTTAACCGATAGAGATCCACATCATTTGACTCATGTAAATCTTTATATACCAATTGATAGTACTTTTGAAATACTAGAGAGTCGTATATTTTTCAAACTTCGAAAATACTGCCCACTTAAGAAATTCTTAACAGACTATTCTCAAGATATGATTTTGTACCTTTTTTCACTAGTACTCAAACGATTTCAGTCAGAAAAAATAAGGCTTGAATTAAAGCTTATAACATATTTGGAATTAGTACTGAAAATTAAATCGACTTGTAAGTATTTTGATTTTGTTTGAGAACTTTTTTTCTTTCGTCGAAAAATACACCCCTTTTTTTTCCTCAGGATCTAGTAAAACAAAGATTTTAACTGTCATTTTTTTTTATCAAAAAGACTGAGCCTTTAATTTCTTTTAGATTTAAAATCAGAGCATTTGATTTGATGCACATAAGTGTTTGTTGAAATCCCAGTGACATCAAAATCTATTTTTCAAACTTTTGACTACTTGTGTTTATCGTATGTTTTGCGAAGTCTGGTTGAAGATACATCAAAATACATTTTAAAATTGATCTACTCACCAAATATACCAATGTTTCTAATGACAATTGTACTCGACGAGAAAAAAAAAAAAGCTGCAATAAAAAATTCGTTAGACAGTTTCTTTTTTGTTTTCGTTTTATATACATATTAATTGTTCCGCTTGTTGATTTGATGATGTAAGAGGTAGAAAAACAAAAGAAAAATGTGAAGTGAAAAAGAAAAGATATTTTAATGAAGATTAAGATGAATTTCGTTAACTTTGAGAACAATAATTAATGTATTGTACTATTACTCAAAAGAAAAGAAATCTTCATATAAATCAAAATTGATATTTTCTAAGTATTATATCATATGCAGAATTTTCTTTCTTTTTATCGTTCTCTAAAACTGATTCATAATTGTGTTTGGGCTTTTTCCCAAGCAATAGAAAACAGATTGTTGTCATTTTACTATTCATAAGAAAAATCCCACTGATTTCATCAAAATAGAAATCAATAGGACAAAACGATAACAAATTAAGCAAATGATTAATTCAAGGTTATTGCTAACAAGGGGGGGATTGGCGGAGTGGCAATATGTTCGTTTCTCGAGAATCGGTATCATGTTCGAGCCTTCCCCCCTACGGCACCAAGTTTTAAATAATTCTGTTCTGCTCTACACGTCTCAAAACTACTTGTTCGTCGATGGTCTATGCATTCTGCTCGCATACCAAAATGGTTCGACTTTGCAAACCATCGCACATGACTCATGTTATCTTTCTTCATAGTTTTATATGCTTTACGTTTGTGCTTTGCTTTAATTGCTTTTCGCTTTTCTCTCTTTGTGCAACTTGTTAATTGTAAGCTACACTGTCCCTTTAGGACCGACATGGTCAGAGGGTTTAATTTCGCATAATAAAAAAAAAAAGGTTATTGCTAACAAAATCTCAAATATTATATATCTATATGTGATTTACTCTCAATTCGTCTCAAATCAGTCAATTAGGCCTTTCTTCTGTTAAATGTTTTTCTCAATTCGTCCCTTCCATGGTGGCTACTGTATAATGATGGTATCGTCATATATCGTACGACTTGTAATTTTTTCTCTCTTTGTTTTCTCTTATCTATCGCATAATTTTTATTCTTCTTTCTATCGTACGATCTTTTTCTTTTGTGTTTAAATAATTATCCTTGATCTTATCAATAAGATTTTCAATTTTCGAGCGTTAAGTTTTGAATGTCCAGATAATAATTGGACAAATAATTCATTATTATCTCTTAAAGATGTACTTGTAGAATGGTTACAAAATTCTTTGTCAGAAATATATTCCATTAGTCGACATCGATCTCGTTTCGTGCGACTATGGATTAATAAGTAAACAAGTGAAAAGATTTCTCGTTCGATAGATAAATATCATTGTTTTTTTCTTGATCTTGAAATACATTTAATTGCTATCGACTACACAAAATGAAGGTTTATTACTTCTTTTGTTGTTATACGGGGTTCAGAGGAGGTCTCATTAAACCTCAAAAAGCTCTAGAAACATTTTTTTCCTACGAATAGAAATCATTTTAGGATTTTTCTAGTCTTACTGAGACCTTCCCCTATGAACCCAATATGAGCTCAAGCGGCGGGTATCAGTTCAGGCGGTTCCTTAGTTAGCTTGTTGAGATTAATCATAGTAATTAGATGTACTTTTTGAAAATCGATAAAACATGAAGAAAATAGAAAAAAAGTCTTATATGGAACATGAATGACAAATGCATGGCTCAGTTCTGAACGTGACGGAATTTTTTGTTTCAATCAATAGTATGTAGAAAGTCTTTGGTCGTGAAACATAAGCATGAATATCGACTCCGACATTTCGTAGAAACGTTTTTTTCGAAAAAAAGTAAAACACTGAAATTATGCGTCATATTTCGAACTTTTTTTAGTCAAAAGAGCGACTAATCCTTATAAACATTCGTACAGATTGACTATTGTCTGCTCGTGACATTCGGCGAGTGTTTTAGCCTGTACTTTGCATTTCGTGATACGCTCAAAACTTTTTTTCGATTGAATAAATCAAACACGTCGAAAGAATGCTTATATTTTTGTACTGTTTCGATAATTTGTCAAATGAGTCTAAATATACATATATTGATTTTTACTCAGACTTTATCAATATGTCTCCTTATTATCATAGTGTTTACGAAATAAAATCGCTATTTATCAAATCAAAGCGATGGAAAATGCAATATATGTTTTCAACGATCGATTGCAATGGTTTGTGTAAGTTTGAAAATAATCAACAAAATCTAAGGACGTGTTTTAAGACTGTTATGGGATGAAAGGAATGAATCAACACGTTCGTTGTTGTTTTTTGAAATGGCAATGAACCAGAAAAGAAGCAAGATTAAGTTTTTTTTAGAAAAAGAAACAATCGTAGTCTTTCTATTTCTATTTAAACTACCTAATCTTCTACCTGTGCATTCATTCACTTTATTAGTACGTTTCCAATACGAAGGAAAACTTGACAATACTGGGATGTAGTACTCGCCTAATTTTATAGTCATTTATTGTCTTGCATTTTTCTCACGCCGCCATGATTGAGTGGTTACATTGTTCGGCACGCACCCACAAAGTACTGTGTTCAAACCTCAGTAACATCACCCATGGAATGACTCTGGACAAGTCACTAACGGCTAAGTTGTCTCTAATGATTCATTCCACATGAGTGATTCATACTGACTATATATTCAGCCAGTATGTTAGACGGAAGAGGGTGCAGATACCGCCGTCTGTAAAAAGAAAAAGACGAAAGAACCCGGCTGCATGTGGAAACTATTAATAATAACCGGGGCCGGCCCCAACGGGCGATAAGCCTATGGGACGTTATTATTATTATTTTTCTCACATCGACAGATGTAATCTATCATGTTTTTTCTTGCTTTCGGTTAATCAGCAANATTGATTGATCAGAAAAGTTCGGCACCTTTAACGAGAGCCCATGCCTAATGGACTTTAAGATTATGTAAATCAACAGGTCAATGAGAAAAGTTAAGAGCTCGTTAACGATAAACGGACGAATCAACACTACGAAGATCGAGAAATGGAAGATCAGTTATTATTCCAGGATTTGTAGAGTGTGGGTGGGTGTGGGTGTGGGTGTGAGTGTGAGCTTTGCTCTTTTCTTAAATTACACCCACACCCATAAGCACACCCACACCCGCACGCACACACCCACACCCCACACCCTACAAATCCTGGAATAATAACTGATCTTCCATTTCTCGATCTTCGTAGTGTTGATTCGTCCGTTTATCGTTAACGAGCTCTTAACTTTTCTCATTGACCTGTTGATTTACATAATCTTAAAGTCCATTAGGCATGGGCTCTCGTTAAAGGTGCCGAACTTTTCTGATCAATCAATTAATAGAAAATCTTATTAATTTGTATCCAGAAATTAGTTGCGGTTGAACGTTGAGGAGACGAATTCGGTAGATTTCTCATGGGCCTACCGTTGACCAATTAAGAATAGACCTGATAAGGAGTAACCCTTGCTAACTTCACCACGAAGCTCTCAAACCACTTTTAAACTTCATTATATATGGTGCAAGCCGCCATGGTTGAGTGGTTACGTTGTTCGGCACGCACCCACAAAGTACTGTGTTCAAACCTCAGTAACATCACCCATGGAATGACTCTGGACAAGTCACTAACGGCTAAGTTGTCTCTAATGACTCATTCCACATGAGTCATTCATACTGACTATATATTTAGCCAGTATGTTGGACGGAAGAGGGTGCAGATACCGCCGTCTGTAAAAAGAAAAAGACGAAAGAACCCGGCTGCATGTGGAAACTATTAATAATAACCGCGGCTGGCCCCAACGGGCGATAAACCTATGGGACGTTATTATTATTATTTTTCTCACATCGACAGATGTAATCTATCATGTTTTTTCTTGCTTTCGGTTAATCAGCAAAAATAGTATAAGTTTGACTTTTTTCGACATGCTTTCATACGAAGTATTTATTTCAAATTGTAAAAGAAAAATTCTTATGTCCATTATTCCATATGTACGATAGTGTTGTTAAAGTAAGTAAGCACGTGGAAAAAAATCATGAAGTTGTCCTTTAAAATCGACATAATCACCTGAACCATTCAATTCAATTTGCAATATTTGTTGATAGATATTTTTCAAATATGAATCATCGCTTAATTCTGGTTCCGTAATGATTTGTGTGAGCAGAACTTTTGACGCTTCCAAATATTTCATTCGAGGACACATGAAAAGAAAACGACGAATTAATTGACAAGAGAATAGTCCTTGAAAACAGAGAATTCGAACAGTTTCAAATACGGGATACGAAATAGTTTCATCTTCAAGTTGCCACTTCATATCATATCTTCGTACAAGTTTCAAGCAATGAAGTCGTGGAAATGATATTACCATCCAACGAAAGAAATCGAGAGTAAGAATAGCACCACGATCTACTGGCGAAATAGTAATAGAACGTACAGTAGTCAGTGTAAGTAACTTGTGATGTGCAGTTGAATTAACATTCGAATTCCAATCGACGATTCGTGATGAAATAATGCATAGTTCTTCAAAAATTGTTGAAGAATGAGTGAGAGAAAAAACAATCATATTAATAGTACCAGAGACAGGAAGCATTGCTGTGAGAGAAAAAAAAATATTCAGATCTCAATTCGATTTATTTGATTGAAGAAAATATGTCTAGTTATTCGCATACCTGTAACTGGATAATTAATTACAATACATCGTTGTTGCCATAGTTCATTAGCAAATGAATTTTGATACTTTGAAATAAGTCTAACATCAAGTGCGAATTCGATAAAAAATTCGAATCGTTTCAAATGTGGCAAATATGTTATGATGCCGTGTTCCAGTCGATTCCCATCGACGAGTGATGTTTCGGATTGATTTTGTAAAACTAAATCGAGTGTCAAATATTCAAGTGATGAAGAACAACCACGAATAAATAATTCAAAATATTCGAATTCAACTTGATACGTTCCCCAATATCTAAATAAATCATAACAAAAACAAAACAATGATATGCTTCGTGTTTATTGACAATCTACTTGATCGGAGTTATCGCTCGAGAATACAGAGCCAGTCGTTTCAGATAAGGTGAACAGACTATAAATGAATTGAAGTCTGTTAAGGAACTATAAAATCCAGTCGGTCGTCCATTTACATTGACAAACAATGACTCAATCATTGGTAATTGTTGACCAAGTCGAAATAAATCTTGTATAGTATTTACACGTATTGTTAAATGACGTAGTGATGAAATCAATGATCCTGTTGGAATAAACGAACATCTCAATGAGAGATCAAAATCTTTCAATGGAATATCAAAATTACAATCCAAATCATAGATATCATATTGTAATGAAAAATTAAGTTTGATCGAATATAATTGTGGTAATCGAGTACTTAAAGATCGAAGTTCATTTGCCAATGTATCTGTTTCATTGATTTCAACAATTGTTAATGTTTGTAATGATGGTAAATCGCGTAAATATGCTAAATGTCGAGTAGTAGCACATACAGAATGGATAACTTCATTAAATTTAGATAAATGAGTACTTAGCCAAAAATTTGATTCATGAGATAAGTTAATATGACATAAATACGGCATAATGAGTGATGCAAGTCGAGCATTTTTTTCACTCAATTCGAGAAATGCTTTAAGAATTTCTGCTGAACTAAGATAATTTAATAAGTATGGAAAGAGTTCATTGGGTAGTGAAAGTAAATGTGTTATAACTGTATTGTCATTACTCATCCTATGTGATATGATTTAGTAAAAGAGAATGTCAAAAAAAAAATTCTTTTAAACACAAAGTCCGCAAGTATATTACACCGTTATTCTTTCGAAACTAAGCACGAGTTTGATACAGTACTTACGAAATTCTTTAGTAATACTATGAAATTACACGTGAAAAGAAAATGAATATTATTCACCAGTAGTGTAACATTTGCGTTCTGTGTCTTGGGCATGCCACAATCACTGTTAGCAACATCAAAATATTTGCTTATTCTACTTCTACCGTCAGTCAGCGCAACGCACATTTTTTATAAAACATAACGATTCAAATTTCTTTTTCAAGCTTCACTAAACATTTCTCTGAATTATGAAAGTTAGTTCCTTTGATTTAATATGACCACTTTTATTAGACTATCTGATTATCATATGCTTGAGAGATGGCATGGTAGATGCCTTCTTTTTACACATTTAATTGAAGGGATACAACTTGTAGTTTCAAGTTGAATTGGATCAAGCAGCTTATTCAAAAATGAAAAGTATATAGATCGATTTCTTATCCTTATTTCTCAAAGCACTGAATTAAATGTCCATGAAATTTTTCTCATAGTCATTTCGCTTGAATTTCCTGGAAACATCAACGTCCTATATCATAGCTTGAGAAATTTCATTCATAGAGAGTTAGGACAGTGTAATCTATATTTAGTTTTTCAAAGCATAGTTTTTTTATTGCTCTCGAAATGAACTAAAATGTGAATGATTCAATGCTGAACAAAAGCAGAATGAAAAAAAAAAAAACGTGATTTCAAGTGAAAATTTCATCGTAGTTTGTTGATATTCACCAAAGCGATACATTGAGGACACCATTTCCGTCTTGTGAAAACTATATCTCGATCACCTTAGTAATCTGTTATTCGAATATCTTTTGTTACAACGATCTACAGTAGGAAGGAAATAAATCATGAATATTTTCGAGATAAGAATTAGAAAAAGGTGATGATAAAGCATTGTTTCAATAGTAGAAGAATCTTTCGTTTGTTTTTTTTTTAATGAGTAAATAAAACGGAATTGCATATGTCTTCTATATTGCCTTCTACAAATGCTCGAACAAGTGTCTAGTATTATCTTGACAATGTCTCAAAGATGTCAAGGAGATTCAATGAAGAGAAATTCAGAAAGACTTGTTTGATTTTCTATATCGGATATCGTATGCGAAGCTGTCAATGAATGTACGTTTATATATTTGATGAAAATATAGCATGTTGATTTCATCCATGATGCTACAGTGTTCAATCGATGGAATGAGATTTTTCAACTCTCTTCGTTTGTTGTCTTCTAAACTCAGATTTCAATCTCATATCAAGTATGGCAACCAGAGTTTACCAGGTTAATAATGTTTCTGTAATCGAAATTGAAAAGAACTCTAAATGAATGGAGATATGTGTCGAGAGAGAGAGACATTCATGACATCATACGACCGTCGAAAATTCACAAATACAGGGGGTGGGGGGGGGGGGGGGAAAAACTTTTGATTTTGATGAAACTTTCAAGATTTTCAGACTTGTTCACTTCTAGAGAAAACACAATTCGAGATGAAGCTCTACCATTTACTAACGATTTCATTGTTCAAAATACGAAATATTTTATCTAGTATATGTTCCTTTCATATAAATGAAGACTTGCACTAGTTTAGATCGATTACATATTCAACAATAGTTTTCTTCTCTAGACAATCTAATAAAGATTCTCAGTTGTTAACAAAAACAAATAATGAATATTTTTCTTGTATATTAGACTTAGATGTTGAAATCGCCAATAATAAGGGCTTTATATATATGGAACCTCAAGCATTATTACGATATCCTCGAATAGTACTAGAACCATGACTAAAGACAAAAAGTTAAAAACAACAATAAGATTGAGTTAACATTTTGCTTCATCTGTATATCACTGAGACCTGGCCAAGTTCCCAGGAGTCGGGAACTCAATGGGAATTCATTGGGAATTGGGAACTCAAACGGCGTGGGTGGGTGTGGGACGTTACCGTTACGTTCCCAGGTAATTGGTAACCGTTTGGTAACCGTCTCCCGTCCTCAGCGCCGAACCCTAGGGTCCTCAAGTCCGATTTCGAAAAAAAATTTTTTTTATGTAGAAACAGACTTTTTTCGAAAAACAAATTTTTTTCAGAAAAATTTCGAGTGTTTTCGAAAAAAATTATTTTTTCTCAAAAAGTGTATTTCTGCATTAAAAAAATTGTTTTCAAAAACACCCACACCGTTTGAGTTCCCAATTCCCAATGAGTTCCCGACTCCTGGGAACTTGGCCAGTGCTGGGTTGGATAAGACCAATATTTATCAGTATTACTTGTATGACTAATACATCCTGTGTTATTTTATTGACGAAGCAAGCATTCAGGTGATATGGAGTTTAAATTAGAAGTGTGTTATTACAATGACTAACAAAAAGACATATAAAACTGTGTACCTGTTCGTTTAATTGATATCAGTCTATTAAATAAGATAAATTTCGAATTGTTAGTCAACGAATTACTACTAAAATTTTTCGAATAATTTTATTTTGTTTATCTTTTCTATGTTTTTATAATCTAAATACTCGTTACAATACTCTTCTTTTCGTCGAATTTTGTAAATATTATCTCAATTTTCAATCAGTATCTAAACGAGATTTCGACATTATTTGTCAAGAATATCTTTCATTAATTATCGATCGAATTATTTCCGTTCGCCTATCGAATGATGATGAGACTTCACGACAAATTGAATGTTTTTTTTTCTCATAATTGGAGTCTTCCCCAATTTATTCGTTTAGAAATCATTTTTATTAAATGATCTACGTTCTCCAATGACTTGATCGAACTCATGACGGAATGTCATTACTTTCATAACTTTATACATCTCCATCTTGTTAGATGTATATTTCGATATGATCACATGATAATTTGTCAGCTTCTCAATGATATTTGGAATTCGCCTAGACTTCGTCATTGCCATTTGAATGTCTATTGTAGTGAAAGTATTTTTATTGCTTCATTAATGTCTTCTAAATCATTGAAACATCAGATTATAAAATAATGACCGTTATGGGCACAATACATTCGCTTATCTCTTTCAATATATCTATTATCTTCGATTTCTTTATGTACGTTCTCAAAGATGATTCAGATGAGCAGCAATTATCTTTTTCTACTTCATCAATAACTACACTAAAACTTTTTGCTTACACATCGTCAGCTATTATGGTAAATCTTTTAAAAACTATGTCGAATTTACGTCATATGGTTGGATGTCAATGGGACAGAATTATTGTCGATCATTTGTCTAGATTAAACATATTTTGGGTTAAAAGGTTAGTTTCTTTTGATGATAATAAGAATAAAGAAAGACAAATTGAAGAACTATTTGATTCATTTCGAACTCAATTTTGATTTGATGAACATCAATGGTTCGTTTGATGTGATTAAAACAAATGTTTAAGTGATTGGTGTTCAAATAAAATTTATCTTTATACACAATCCTATATTTTCGAAGATTATTATTTTCATAACATAAACTTCGAAATCAAATCAACTTGTTCTTATACCGATGACTCCACTTCGATTAATAATAACATCAGTGTTCTAAAGTATCTACCTCTTCTATCAAACAATCGAATATTATTTCCGTTTTGTTTCTCCAACATTTATTATCCTGATCTTTGTTCCGAAATTTAATCGATTGAACGTACTTATAGTATCAACAACATATAGTGATGTAAAGAAATTGTAATATACAATCTCAACTTCAAACTTTACTTGATCGATCACCTTATCTTTATTTATTGGGATTTGGATATTGACGAATCGTCGTCTATGCACAGGTCACCATTTAAATACTTATGTAAATCAGTTCGCTAACGTAATTTACAAAAAATTTACTCAATTTTATAATGCTCAACAATGTATGATCTTGATTCATTTACCTATAGGCATTCAATATGAAGTATTTTCAATCACAGTTGATAGTAGAAACGATTGAATTTATCTTATTAATATGATGACTAAACTTCGAGAGTTGAATGTCATTTGTCAATATGATACATAGGATAGTGATAATGATGAGAATTTGTTAATAACAAGACATGAACTTGTTGAATGGTGGAAACATCGTTTACTAACTCTATATGCATGATCACAAGAAGCGATGACGAACTCTATAGCAGTGAATTGTAATCATTCTGTACCTATTGACCTATTCAATTATGGATTAATAGACTATAAAAGAAAAAAAATACCTAAAATGAATGGTAACTTTTCTATAAAACCTTATGAGACTCTTAACACAAAACAAATTTGAATTTCGACAGCTAATATTGGTGCTTTTATTCAGTGCAATGGACAGCCATTTATATTGATCTCTAGTTTTCGTCGGGTACTTTTCATAATTCAGCTTTCTATCAAAACCAATCAATCTCTCATCATGTATCATATTGCATTGTCTAATTTCGTCTGTACTTTTATGAATGCATGACTATTCATATTTCAGTTGCGATCATTATCGTCAATGGAACAAACGGATGAGAAAAAAATTGGATTTTTATATGATTTGTTTTTATCTTCTACATATATATCGTTGTAATCATTGAAAAACTTTATTTGCAACATATACTTGAGCATAATTAAAATGAATTCAAGTGATGAAATAACTAAATCAGTTCAGTACATTGCTTTATAGAAACACAAGCAACACTACTACTATCGGCGCCAGAATTCAAGGCAGTCGGATGTTTTTTGAATAGCTGTTGATAGGAACAAGATGGAGATCTGCGGTTTTCACCGTTTGATAGTCAAGATCCAGGAGCATATTTTCATAAGCAAAATCCTTTCTGAGAAAAATTTTGAAGATCGCCTTTTTAGAGGATTTCTGGAAAACCACGCTGGATTTCTGTAAACTGTCATAATAGTCTATTGATTTTTTTACATATTCGGAATCAGCATCAAAAACTGAGTCGAATCACATATGTTT